AAAAGACAATATAAATATAAAATCTAAACATAAATATTTTATTTAAAAGTGGTAAGTTTTCTATTACATAATAACTAATGCTAAAATCTAATAATTATTTCTCCATAATAAAACTATTCGTCAAAACCAGTAAACAAGATCAAATGAAAATTTTACTTTATTGATAATGTGCGGAAAAATTTGTCCTTACAATGCAAATATATATGAAAACTATGTTTCTGCATATTTCCTAAGCAATCTATTAATCTATCATAACTCCTAAGCAGCAACTTCAAATTCTGATCATCGAACCATGTGATTGAAATCCATCTCTCACGATCAGAATTAGCAACTCTTCTTAAGCTTCCTTATTTCTCTTAGATCCGGTAACACATCAAAATGTGATTATCACATCGTGTAATAAGAATCTATGAATAGGAACTTAATAAAATAGAGTTGGATAGTGGATGTACTTTAAGTAGAGTCATACAACTTGACTTTACTATCTCTGTGATTTTTCAGGTAGACAGGACAGCTTCGCATCTAATGTCCCTTCAATTGGCAATAGAAACATATGGACTCTTCAGGAATAGCACATGGGACTATCTCAGAACTGGCCTTTCTCTTTACCATATGGTCAAACAGTTTGACCTTGGCCGATCTCTTTCCATTGGGAAGAGAAACCTTTTCTGGACTACCATTGTTGCTATTGTCCATGGAGTTTTGGGAGACAGATCCTTCAAACACATCTTCTTCACCAGTGCTCTTCAGCATTTCTGCTTCAAACACATTTTATTTCTACTATCTAATTAAACTATGTTTTTTATGATTACGCAATAATATGTAAGTTTTATTAAAACTTCTTATTAAATCATTTTATGGTTTATTGTATTTTCTGAATTTTATATTAATTTATAGTTGTGTTGTATCTTTTTTATAACGGGTTTGGAAGTGGGAGAGGGATAGTTGTTGGACAAATCTTGTTTTTCATATGTTTATATGTTAAAATCACCACGTACTCAGGATTTAGTAGAAAAGTTATGGTTTTACAATCTAAAATAGGTGAAAGATTATTGTATTTTATAGTCAATAAATTGTTGTTTTATAGAGCTAAACAATCAGAAAGATTGTTGTATTTTACGATCCAAAAACTATTGAAAAAATGTTATTGTTACAGTCCAAAATGCTTGGAATTATCTTATGATTTGATGCCAAAACAATAAAATGCTGCTTTTTAATGTCCAAAACATTCGAAAAAATGTTGTGTTTAACGATTTAAAAAAATGCTATATTTAATATTCTAAAACAGTTACCCTTGTTGGATTTGATGAGCATTTGCTTACTTCTGTTTCAACATAGTTTTACCCTTGCTGGTCTTGGAACTTTTTTCATTTTAAACTCCTTTTACTGGTCTTTGAATTCGGTAAAGAAACTCTTCAAGAACTTCTTGAATCCATTGAATATTCTTTAATTTCTTTGTATTTCAGGTGAAGGATTACAACACCTTTAGTGTTGACTCAATTTTCAACTAATAACATAAAGAGAAACTATATTAAACCAACTACAATAATATAACATCTTATTTCATTTGGGTTTCGTATTTTTTTATTTTTTTTATTTCAATTTCAAATCTAATATAGCAAGGAACCTTTTTTGACGAATATAGCAATGTACTTTCACACACACAGACGCAATAAGACACAATGTCTTCTATTATGGTTGGCTATGTATATGCAAGGGAGAGAGTGGATGTGGGTGTGGGTAAGTGGTTGTGTGTGTGGAATGAATGAATGGAGTGGAATGCTAATACAATGAATTTTCAAATAAATATTTTGTTTTAAATTTACATATAACGTAAATTTTAACTTTACTAAGTATGAATGTAAGATATTTAAGAAAGACAAAATAATAAGTAAATAAATACAACTAAAGGTATGTTGTCATATTAGACAAACAACGACAAACATTGCTAATTATGACATTTAGCCCATGATTAGCAAAAATGCAATAAATCTCAATGCACCTTCATGTTTTTTTCTAATACAGCATCTTATTTCATTTATTTTCTTATCCAGGTTAAACAAAATATGTACTTAACTAGATTTGGGTCCATATATGCCCTCCAACGTACCTTCTTGTTGGAAAGAGACTTGTTAAACCCAATACATGTAAGAAATAAAATCGAGTAGGACATTTTGGTCTTTAAGGGATCACAATGCAACAACGTATACAGGAAGAGTGTGCACTTAATGTACCAAATCACATCATCAAATCTTCAAATAAGCAAAAGTCACAAATTTTGCAAGAACCAAAAACCAAAAATAAAGTTTATATCTCCAAAAGTAAGAACGTTTACCTGTACTTAGAAGCACCTACCTCCTAGCAAAGAAGCTAAACTAATTTCAACTGTAAATCTAAGCACCTAAAGTCATATCCAACTTTAAATTGTCAAATACCTATAAATGAAAGGGAAATTAGGAAATACGAGTTAAGCCTGCAACGAACCAAACCAACACAGAAATCAATGAAATGTTAAATCAACAACCATCAAGTCAAAAAGATATAACACCTTAATTGCCTATTCCAATCTTAGCAACTTAATCACATAAAACACTTTTATACCAAAGGAACAAAACAATCGATCAAATTCAAGGTACTCTAAGTCTTTAACTATGATCATAAATACTTAGTATTTACAACTATTAAAGAGGAATTAACGTTTGAAAGTATTTGGTGTAAGCTGAAATTGAAATCAAGCAGAATGAGTATACCCTCGTATCTTAAAAAGTGAAAGGTAGGGAGTTTAGCTATCAAATGAGTCATTTTGCAAGGGAGGCTATAAATCCGTAGTCCATGGAATTCTTAAAAAAACAGTCATTCTTAGGCTTTTAGCAGAGAAATTATACCTAAAATAAAGAAATTCCCTTAGCCACTATGCTTCTTCGCAGTCGTTTTTGGCCGACTACCTGGAAATCGTAAGGATATGCAGTTAGTTGGTTGTGTTAATAAATACATCATTAGGAGATATGTAGTTGTGATGTTTACCTGATCAAGTAAACATTTGTAGCATCACATAGAAAAATTAATTAACTCAATTTTTATAAAATCAATTATTTCAAAATTAAAACCAGATGCATGCAATATGTTTAGTTATTTCCATTGCCGAATTAAAACTAATGCAATATCATCCAACATGTGAGTTAAAAAAAAACAGAAGTGGTTGTGAGACATTTTATCGAACACTTGTTGTACACAAAAAAATATCCTAAGTTTGCCACACAATTAAGAGTCGGAGAGGTTACCACTAAAGAAATATACCTTACCGATTCAACAATTGTTGAAAAGAAATAGGAGGATGCCAATAAATTCACCCTTTAATAGTCAATTTTTACATGCTTACGTTACTGTTTTGAAACTCGGATGTGCAATAAAAATGGCAGGAAGAAGAATTGTAGTAGCCGACCTTAAACTGATTTATAGAGCACAACGTAGAAAGGATCGGATCCCTAATTTCGTGCTCATCAATTGAATTCAAATATGGGATGTTGATTTTTTTGGAATACAATAAAGCAGTAATCAAAGAATTTTTGCTGATTATTTGGGAGAAATACGATTTCAAAACCGATAATGAAGTGAGCGGGAAAACAAAAGAACATGTAAAAAGCATGAGAAGGGAAATTTCGGAAATTAAGTTTGATAATATAGGAGACGGAGGCGACTGAGGAATTGTCACGTGGCATTTGAGGTACTGTTTAATTAGAATAGAGGATTTTGGATTTTCTAAAAATTTAATTTTTTCTTAAATTAAAATTTGAATATTTTAATTAACTTTAATATTTTGCAATATTGTTTTTACTTTTCTAGCAATGAACTTCATTTTTACCCATAAGGCTACAATTATTTCACATAATAACAATGTACTTATATTTCCTCCAAAATGTACATTAGTATTTCAGATCCAGTCATGTAGTTTATGCCACATTTGCTTCGGTTCAAGTGTAGGTATAAAGTCATGTGCAAGTTCTTTTAGGTCAAAGTAGCAATGTACCGTCATTTCAAATTATACAACGATGTTGAAAAAGGTACATTATGTTTTCAATTTGTTGCTATATTTCTATTTATAATTTTTTATATAACAATATCATTTTCATGATTTATTGTTTTTTTTCTCACTTTATTCAAATTTATATTGCATTGTACAACATCGTGATTTTATGATTTTATCAAATATGTACACATATAGATAGTAGATCGGATATTCAAAACAACAAATATATTAATTTTAAATAATCATTACAAACTTACAGCCAAAACTTCTATCTTTATAATTTAATATTTTTCTTTTTACAAATCTTTGATTTGTCATTATGATTTTAAATTATCAATAGTGTTTCTTTTATCGTGATTTCTATGGATATTAACCTAGTATTATATATATGGTTTCACAATAAAAATACAAAACTTTTTGAATTCACATGTCAACCTAAAATTGAGTCAACGACACCTAAACATATGGTAATCGGTTTTACACACCTAAAAACAAATTTTGGTTAAAATCATCATTTTTTTTGACGAAATTAAAGGCTTTTGTGTCAATAATATATACTTATTTAATTATATATTTGATTTATTTAAGGTATAACTTAAGTGCTATTGTGTCAATATTCTATGACTATATACCTATTTAATTATATTCTTGACTTATTTATTATTTATGGTATAACTTAAGGGCTTTTGTGTCCATAACAGTAGTATATACATATTTATTTATATTTATATTCCGGACTTATTTATGGTATAACACCAATCACAAGAAATTTAAAACAATGCAAATATAACTTCCTCTACAGAAATTTTACTTACCAATTTTATGAAGATATTAAAAACAGAAAAAATGAAAATCATATATTAAGAGTATTTCAAGAACTATATTTTTGTTAACTAAATAAAAATACTAATTATGCCATCCTTGTTACCAATATAAATACCAAAAGATTAATGCTGACCAAAATCAAAGTAAAATGGCCTTCAACCTTCAAAACCCTTTTTTCGTTTTCGTTTTTGTTTTTGTATGTTCAATTGCTTCTCTTGTTGCAAGCCATGAACTCTTTGTCAATGGAGACGGATTTTCACCTGCTTTAGGGACATGGTATGGAGACCCAAGAGGCGCTGGAAGTGGTAACAAAAACTAAACATCATTTATAACATTTCATTTCAGGGGAAAATCTCGTTACTTATGAATAATCTATGTATTATTTTTATCAAAAATACGTACAGGAGGAGCTTGTGGATGGGCTAATGATGTACAATCACCTCCATTCTCAGCCATGATAGCAGCAGGAAATGCAAGGATTTTTTTGCAAGGCAAAGGATGTGGGGATTGTTATCAGGTGAAGAAGTTAATCCGGAAGTGATGATTTTTCTTCATTCTGATTAAAAAATATGATCAGTTTTTACGTAATTATCAAAATTAATTTGATTATTGTGGTTGATTCTTCTCAGATTAAATGCAGTCGAGAGCCATACTGCTCTAAGAACCCTATTAGAGTTACAATAACCGATGAATGCCCAGGTGCATGTAACAATGTTCCATTCCATTTTGATTTAAGTGGAACTGCTTTTGGTGCAATGGCGAATCCAGGACAAGCTGATAATCTTCGTAATCTCGGCCAAGTTGATATTCAATATCGAAGGTACATACTTACTATATATTTTACTTGTAAGATCCTGCGAATTAATTTATAAAAACATTCATCCATGCATGTATGTACAGGGTGCAATGCTACTATGGTAGAACAAAGATCGCTTTCAAGATTGACGCACAAACAAACCCTTATTGGTTTGCAACTGCAATAGAATACGATGATAGAGATGGTGGACTTCAGTCAGTGGAGATAGCCTCTGCTAATACGCGACAGTTTGTTCCAATGAAGAATATTTGGGGTGCGGTTTGGCAAGCCGATGTAAATCCATCTCTTCATGCTCCGTTCTCGTTCAGGCTCACATCTCCTAAGGGTTCTGTTGTGGTTGCTACAAATGCTGTTCCTATGGGCTTTGTGCCTGGTCAAACTTATTTCTCACATGTAAACTTTTAGTTGCTATCAATGGTTACCGATGGGTTGATAGGATAGAACTGAAGTAGCATTTTCATTTTAGTTCGAGTATAATGTATTTCGTCTAGAAATATTGTTGACCATTTAGGGTGGTTGGGGTTCTTGTTTAATTATCTATGATAATATATCAATATGACATGCAGAATAAATTTCATTTAGTTTTTATGAGGATATCAAACTTATTATTGTATGATAGGGTCCCTATAATTTTCCACATCCATTCAGCTCTAAACATTAAAAAGTTTAATGCACTAGTATATATTTCAGCATTCTACTTATGGCGAGAGTTAATATTTTTTTTCATATATATCCTTTTTAATAATTTTATATAATACCTAAAACGTAATAGTTATGTTTGGGAATGTTTTTTACATAACACTAGAAAAATACTATGTAATTTGTGAAAGTTTTCATCATTAGTCGTGTAATTAATTTTTGATTTAATTCCTTTGAAATCTTTGTGTATAACTTTAATTTTATATGATAGTTATGTATCCGAATGTCCAGAGGGATTTAGTTAACAGTTTGATTTTGAATTTTAGCTTGAAATTTAGGGTTTTTCTATTAAATAAAGGAAAATATTTTTTTCTGGTTTTAACCCCCAAAGTTTGTTTAAAAAAACACTTTTTAATGGGTTTCTAAGGTGATGAATTGCAAATATTCTTCCGACACTCCGACTAAGATTTTTTCGCTGGAGTTCGGTTTTGTAGTTCAAAGTTCATTTGTACATTGATAAATCATAAAAATATATAGTTTAAGTGGTTAGATCAAACTATAGTGGTTATTACAAAATTCAAAGATGTATGTAATGTTTTTTTAATCAAAATTCCATTTAAAACAAAATATTTTTTGTAATATTAATTTATGAAATTCGGCCTAAATAAATAAATAGTTTTAGTTGTGTCCTATATTATCAGAAAATTCATTTTTGTTTTATTTAAATTACCTCAAACTTAAACATTGTTCCATTTCGTACATTTGATAAAGATAGTAAGTTCCGAGTGTGTAATTTATGAACTTGGTCTTGTACTATATGCTTAAATCTTGTACTCTGTGCTCTATAAGATTTTGATCATTGTTTATTTAAATTGTGTTGGAAATGCATTCCGAATGTTAATTTATGAACTTGGTCTTGTACTATATGCTTAATCTTGTACTATGTGTTCTATAATGTTTAGATCATTGTTTATTTAAATATTGTTACATATGCATTAGAAGAGTTAGTTAAAGTCGTTGTAGTTTGTTTTAGCCTCAAGGGTATTTTTGTTATTTTCATATTAAATTCTATTTTAGTTAGTTATAGACAATTTGATGTATATATATATATATATATATATATATATATATATTATATATATATATATATATATAGTAATTTGGAAGCCCCCTTGTGAACAATATTCTTCTTTGATTGGTGGGGATTTTTTTTTCAGTTTTTCTTTGGTGGGTTTACTTTTAATTTAATTTTTTTACTTTAGCCTTCTTCGAGATATGGTTTCCACGTGCTTTGATCTGTAATAGCAAGGTGTTATATGTCTGATTTCACCGCTACTTTAACCAATAACAATGAGATTAGTGTGCTTACCACCGCTTCATTCTTTGGAATTATACGACATCGGGTTACTACATGGATTAAAGCTTTTCACTTCCCGATCCTTCCACCGCTCACTCCATCTTCCCTCGCCGCTCCACCTACCGACTGCTTCTTCTTCTACTCTGATTTCCATCAGAACCGATTTCTCCCCACACTCTTCCAAACCATTGTCTCACTCCTCCTCGGTTGATCGTTCTGATATTTGATTTCGATTCAACATCGATCTCCACTTCTCACTAGAAATCGATTTATCAAAGGTCATCCCTTCGCCAACCCTGCCAGTCACGTAGGTTAATCGATCTTCGTTTGTTCATCTCAACAATTTAATTTGTGTTCATATCAACAAATTCTCATCTTCTCATCTTTCAATTTGTTTTTCATTTCTCACTCTCATCGGCATGTATGCATCAATTCTTAATTCTTCTACATCACTTGATCATACTAGCCTGTATTTTATCGATTCTTCATATAATCCAAATTCTCTTCTTGTTACCTATGTTTTCAATGGTGTTTGGTTTTAACTCATGGAAGAGATCAATGATGATATCTTTAGTTGCGAAAAACAAAATTTGCTTTGTAGCTGGTTCGATTGCGAATCCTTCTGAGTCAGATCCTTCATATCCCAATTGGTTTTGAGCTAATTCTATGGTGATAAGTTGGATATTAAATTCTCTACACAAAAACATAGTTGATAATGTTCTATTTCTTCATATTGCTAGAGAGATATGGACTGGACTTAATCGTCGCTATGAACAATCCTTTAAAGAATCCTACATCACACAAATAATTGATTGGTAAATTAAAGTTTTTAATACATATTCACCCTGATTTGTCTTATGTTATTCAACATTATGAAGTTGACATTCATGAATTTCGATATCTCAAAAGTACTCCTACAAAATGATTGTTTTTAACAAAAATGAATCATTCCAAGTTGAAGCCGTTATGACTTGGATTGGGGTGCTTGCCCAATTACATGCAAATCCGTTAGTAGCTTCTTTATACTCTTTAGAGGTACCCCAATTTCCTGGAATTCCAAAAAAACAAACAACAGTTTCTTTATCCTCGGCTGAAGCTGAGTACCGATCCATGAGACGAGTTAGCATGGCTCACTAGATTACTAGACGAGTTACGAGTTCCTAATATCACTCCAATACCATTAAAGTCTCGCAATCAAGCTGTCATTTTATTGTTCGCAATCTTGTTTTCCATGAGCGTACCAAACACATCTAGTTGGATTTCCATTATGTTAAAGAAAAGTTCCCAAAAATTATGAAGTGAAAATTTCATTTTTAGTTCAGCCAAAAACACTATTTAATCATTTCAATCATTCAAAAGTATATCAGAGTAAAATAGTTATCAAAGTACAATTCCCAAAATCATAAAGTGCGGAAACATGGGTGAGCTGGGCCCTTCCCTCGCGAATCGGGAGTACTTGAAAAACATTTTAAACATAAACCAGAAACACGAAGCTTAGTGAGTTCTCCAAAATATTGCATACCATACATATCTGCCAGCTCAAGGTTGTTTCGGGTCTATTTTACCCCCGGGTCTATTTCACCCCCGAGTCTATTTCAACTCATGTGTCGAACCAAGTCAGTACCAGGTCTATTTCACCCCCGGGTCTATTTCACCCCCCGAGTCTATTTCAACTCATATGTCATCACAAGGCTATACCAGATCTATTTCACCCCACATACATATAACAAGCAGGTACACATGCATATAACACATACAACAGGAGTCACAAAGACTGCAAGCACATAACATATCCTAGTATCCTACAGTATAGTGACCAAACTCACCTCAGTCTGTTGTCAATCCATCTGATGCTCAGGTCACTGAACCGGAGAATCCCCGCTCTAACCAATCAGATAAAACCTCAATTAATAATTGGGTCATAAACCATAATCGGGACTTAACTCACTAATCCCAACTCTTAGGGTAAAAGACTATTTTACCCTTCCCCTCAATTGGTCCACTTAACTGAGGCCCAAAAATCAATGGCACATAAAGCCCAATAATAGCCCAAATCCAAAAGACCCTCAAGGCCCAATACGAGCCCAATTCCATAAAGATCCAAAGCCTAACAATGGCCCATCTCAGCAATACTTGTGGCCCAACATACGCCCAAAACCCTAAAGTCCAAAAAAGTGGCCCAAAATCAAGAAAGGCTCAGCAGAGTATGCCCTACGTACCAGACTTGTACGCCCGACGTACGGCCCTTTGATGCACAAGGTACAACTCGTCGAAGAAGGAAAATGGGGACTTCATGCATTACGTTGAGCGTACTCCTACATACGCCCATCGTACTCACCAAGTGACCAAAACCTCACATTAAGCACTTAATGCTTAAGACCAAACGTCGAAACTCAGATCCAACTTCATCTTAAGGTCTTAACACGTAAAGTTGGCGACTTTACTCCTTTGTATGACTTAATGGGACCCAAAACCCTCTTTTATCCAACTAAGTCCATAACATGAACACCAACTCTCACATGGTTCATCCAAACTCATCAAGATGACATTTTTATGCACTAAAAACTTCAGAAATGCTAAGATCCAACATTCCAAGCTCTTAGAGTAGCTCATACTCACAAGGATGACTCAAGGGACCATAATATTCCCAAAACAAGCCCTAGACTAGATCAAAAATGAAGAGTTACCAAGATAGAAACTTTATACCTTCAAATGCTAGCAAAATGAATGGGGACTCTGGATCTAAAAGCTCCACCCCAACCAATGTTTGAACTGTTGGATTAGTGTCTAAGCCTGTAACTATATTTGGTAAGTACTTGACCAATTTGTGCATGGTCCTTTTAGGTTGCCTTCACCAAAAGCAACTTGACAGGGTGATTTATGAATAGAGAGGTTAATATGGTTTATTAATATATTATATGAATAATATATTAAAAGAGAAATCATATAATTAAATTAATATTAGACAAGAATTAATTAAGAAATTAATTTTGTGGCTAAAAGGCATTAATTTAATATCAGGGACTTAAACTGTCAAATATGTGATAGTGGAGTATTGGGCTGAGGAGCCTCTTGGACTAGGCATGGACGAAATTAGGATGTGTCCATCCATAATTTCGGCGACAAGGCCCTATTCCAGAAGCTTCCTTGGATAGCTTAAAGCCTAAGCTGTCCATTAGGGTTTAGGCTGAAACCCTAGCAGCACCAGTATAAATAAGACCCTAAGGCTTCCAAATTTCGGCCACTTGATACCCTAGAAAGATCGTAGCCGAATTGTGCCTCTCCCCTCTCTCCAATATCATCCTCTTGCTTCTTTGGTGTTTGTAATCCATTAGAGGAGTGACACTTGTGACTCTAAGATCCAAGACAAGAAGATTCAAGCTATTGTTCAAGAGGTAATTATCTAGATCTGTATTCTTATATCAATTTCGAATCATGTATGCTAGATCTAGAGTTAGAAAGTCTTGGATGAATTGCATGTACATTAGAGAAGCCTAGATCCAAGCTTTAGGGTTTGCATGAGCACATAGGATGTTCTTTTGGCTCAAACTCATCAATAGTATCAGAGCTTTGATTGGCTTCTATTGTATTGATGCTTTGTGTTTTCATTCTTGCTTTAAAATCAATTTTTTGGCCCCCTGACTGACAAACTCGGCGAGTCCCAACATGGGCACGACAAGTAGGATGAACTCGACGAGTCCATAAGGGGACTCGACGAGTCGGGACGTCGGACAGAGGGATTCTCGGGATTTCTTGTTGTTTTGCTGAAGGATAATTACCAAAATCAGTTTTGACAAATAAAATCCGAATTTTATTGTTGTTATATGTTTATCCTTACCAAAACAAAAGATAATCACCAATTATTTGAATGATTAATTCCTTATATGATAACATTTGATTATTTAAATTATTTGATGAATTATCTTGTAAATAAAATTGATTAGGTCAAATTTAGATAATCATTAAATTAAATGTTTAATTTTAAATTATTTGCTATTTGATCCTATGTGTTTTGAAAAGTTCAAAACTTGCCCTCAAGTTTTGAAATTTAAATTTTTTGATTAAAAGTTAATTTGAACTATTTAAATTTCAAACCCTAGAATTTTACAAGTTTAAAATTCAACCTTATACTTTATAATATTATAAGATTAATATATATATATATATATATATATATATATATATATATATATATATATACGTATAACTTAAATGCTAGTCTTACCGTTAGTAGGCCTCATTCACGAAACCGATCTATAAGGGGGGTATAAAGTTATGGCCTATAAAATAGTCATTTAATGGGTGTCCACTCTCACCCATCGCTTCCTTGATTGGTGGAGGGTCGTTAGCCGAACGGGTAGGATAGGGCAACCCTTTCCTCGTTAAAAGTATAATGAAATTATAAAAGTAACTAAATGTTTTTACAAAATTCTCAATCTTAGTTACTTTAGGCAAAAGTGAATTGATGCAATTCCATGAAATTACACTTTGTACCCTTCCTAAGACGTTAGTGGAGCGTGTGTGGTTAATTGGCACACTAATTGGGTTCTAAGAAAAGGTGGCAAAGGGTGACTCACTGTTTGTCATAGTTCGATGGAGCGTGTGTGGTTAACCGGCACATCGAATAGGTGATTGTAACAATGAAGGCACCATGTACATTTGCATGGTTATTCACACCCGCTTTGTGATCCTCGGCATCCCAGTCACAAACTTGAGGGGCATATCGAGATTTAAACATGCCATTGAAAAGTTCAATGAATCTCAAAAGATCTAGGAGTTTTCAATACATTTAAAACTTAGCTTTAATTTGTTTTTCATGGTGGAAATTAGTGAATCGTCATTCACTTACCTTCAAATTATTTACTTGTTAGATTACGACATCCCTCTTCTAATTTGTAAATAATGTTGTTGGATCCTAGCCCTAATTTCTCATTTGGGTGTTTAATTGGGGGATTCATTTCTAATCAAACTTTGTTCTTTTTCCTTTTCAGATGTCGAACGTCAACAACAACGCTTCTGGTTCAACTTCCTCTGGATCATTCTCACTCATGAACTTGTGTGGGAGAGTGATCTTTGACGGGTCCAATTTCAATGATTGGATCCGCAACATTCGAATGGTCACTCGTTACGAGGACAAAGAGTATGTCCTCGATGAAAAGCTGAAGGAAATCAACATCAACACTGCCTCGGCTGAAGAGATCGCGACCTTTG